AGTCTGAGAATAGGGAGAGCTGGAAGCCCCCCAGAGCCCTTAGATTTCAGCTCAGTATACCAAACCAAGGGGGAAGGGAGGGTTAACAAAGTTAGCAGGCTGGTGTAAGTTTGCAACAGAATTTTCACTGATTTATGGCAAAATAGAGAAAAGTAAGGAAACAAAAGTAAACTTTTTTTTTTTTTTTTTGGAGACAGAGTTTCACTCCTGTAGCCCAGCTGAAGTGCAAGGGCACCATCTCCACTTAATGCAACCTTTGCCTCCCGGGTTCAAATGACTCTCCTGCTTCTGCCTTCAGAGTAGCTGGGATTACAGGTGTACCCCACCCATGCCCAACTAATTTCGTATTTTTAGTATAGACAAGGTTTCACCATGTTAGCCAGGCTAGTCTGAAAGTAAACTTTTTTTTTTTTTTTTTTTTTGAGATGGAGTTTCGCTCTTGTTACCCAGGCTGGAGTGCAATGGCGCGATCTCGGCTCACTGCAACCTCTGCCTCCTGGGTTCAGGCAATTCTCCTGCCTCAGCCTCCTGAGTAGCTGGGATTACAGGCACACACCACCATGCCCAGCTAATTTTTTGTATTTTTAGTAGAGACGGGGTTTCACCATGTTGACCAGGATGGTCTCGATCTCTTGACGTTGTGATCTACCCGCCTCGGCCTCCCAAAGTGCTGGGATTACAGGCTTGAGCCACCGCGCCCGGCCTTGAACTTTTCAATATAACTAAATGATTCCATTTAAAGACCTTTTATTCTGGCTGGGTACAGTAGCTCATGCCTGTAATCCTAGCACTTTGGGAGGCCGAGGAGGGCAAATCAGGAGGTCAAGAGATGGAGACCATCCTGGCCAACAGGGTGAAACACCATCTCTACTTCAAATACAACAATGAGCTGGGCATGGTGGCGCACACCTGTAGTCCCAGCTACTCAGGATGCTGATGCAGAAGAATCACTCGAACCAAGGAGGCAGAGGTTGTAGTGAGCCAAGATCGATCATCCCACTGCACTCCAGCCTGGTGACAGAGCAAGACTCCATCTCAAAAAAATAAAAATAGGGGCCGGGCGCGGTGGCTCAAGCCTGTAATCCCAGCACTTTGGGAGGCCGAGGCGGGTGGATCACGAGGTCGAGAGATCGAGACCATCCTGGTCAACATGGTGAAACCCCGTCTCTACTAAAAATACAAAAAACTAGCTGGGCGTGGTGGCGCGTGCCTGTAATCCCAGCTACTCAGGAGGCTGAGGCAGGAGAATTGCCTGAGCCCAGGAGGCGGAGGTTGCGGTGAGCCAAGATCGCGCCATTGCACTCCAGCTTGGGTAACAAGAGCGAAACTCCGTCTCAAAAAAAAAAAAAAATAAAAAATAAAAAAAAAAATAAAATAAAATAAAAATAAAATTTGTTATGAGAGATTCTGTTCTTTCCAATTGTTTGAGTGAAAATATCCTTTGGTTAAATGATGGTGACAGGAGAAGTGGTGTGGTATTTGTTTTTATGGGCTGTACCTGGTAGAAATAAAAAATTAGGCCAGATATGGTGGCTCAAGAGGTCAGGAGATCGAGACCATCCTGGCCAACATGGTGAAACCCTGTTTCTACTAAAAATATAAAAATTAGCTCGACGTGGTGGCACGTACCTGTCATCCCAGCTACTTAGAATGCTGACACAGGAGAATCACTTGAACCCAGGAGGCAGAACCTGCAGCTCTGTCACTGCTATGTGACTTAAAGCATCCTCATATAAATCTTTTTAGTAGTTTGCCCAAAAAGAAAAAGAAAAAAAAAAAAGAAAGAAAAATAAATAAGTAGTTTGTCCACAGATAGAAGTATTGCACACTGCACCCTCTTCACTGCGTACGGCCCAACTTCAAGCCTTGGTGACCTAATGGGGGTGGACCCCTACTGCACATGGCCCTTGCCTTCATGGGAACGGGCCCCTTGCTGCACACTGTCCACCTCCTGGCCTCGGTGACCTAATGGGCGTGGACCCCTTGTTTTATTGCTCACGACCCTATCACTATCCTTAAAGATGACTTCACTCACTGCCCTGCCCCCTAACGTATACACAATAAATGTATTGTATATAGGTTCTCTCATGCTTCTGGACATTCAGGGCCTTGCCTGACTCTGCTTGTAGGTGACGAGCCCCCCCCCCCCAAGCCCAGCTGTGTTTTCCTTGCACTTCTGTGTCCTGTCTCTTTATTTCTCGGATCCTGTGCCTCAGCAAAGCATAAGGCGCACCCCTCCACCCTGTGGGGCCCTCAGCCCTACAGTACTGCTACATGGTAATCACTACTCAAACTAACCTGAGGTGTCCAATAATCAGCTTTCACTTAACATCTCTTTTAGCTTGACAAAATAAAATCTTTCAATGTTTTGTCTACCTACTTCCAAAAGAACATTAGTCTATATATGTGATTATATATGTATATATACATATGTGATTTTGATCAGCCTGTTTATAAAGTATTTCCAAAATAAGTTGACCTATAAATTTATTTATTAAATGAGTAGTTTATAAACTATTTGATTTTTGCAAGTAGTTTATCAACAGGCTGATCAAACTGAACAAATTTCTTAAAATAATTTCATTGTACAGATAGCAAGTAAGTTATTTACCCTTCTTATCAACATATCTTATTTTTATCTATCCTTTAACAAGCATCTAAGTTAAACTGTTTTATGTCCACAGCTACACGTTGAAATAACACTTTCAGTCACAACACATTAACATTCAAAACTAAAAAGAGATCCAGTTACCTTTAGTCTTACATGTACTTATATATAGACTTTTAATACGCTTCTTGATGTTTTATGATGCACAAACACACAGCTCTTGCAAGATAGAACACTATGAGAATATTTAGAGTGTATGCTTATTAAATAATTCAAAATTCTCCTTTTAAAAGAAAGTCGGCTGGGTGTGGTGGCTCATGCCTGTAATCCAAGCACTTTAGAGGCCAAGGCAGGTAGATTACCTGAGGTCGGGAGTTCAAGACCAGCCTGACCAACACGGTGAAACCCCATCTTAAAAAAAAAAAAAAAGAGAGAGAGAGAGAATTAAAAGAAAGTCAATTTTAAAAACTTAAGCATATGGTAAAGTACTCCTTCCATGCCCCAATGTTAAAAGATCCATTTGTTTTAGAGTACCTGTTTCAAAAACAAATCTAAAATTGACCATAATTCTCCTTAAATTCCATATTAACCTAGGATCAAAAGTTACTCCTAGTTCTTGTTTCTTAAATATTTGAAATGTGCTGCTGCATAATGTTTTCCTTATATATTTATTCATTCAACTAAGTTCAGGTGGAAGGTACTTAAGAGTTTAAAAGTCCTTTCCCAAAGTGGAAATAACAAAAATTTTGCATAAAGACACTCAGTGTTTCTCAAAGGGTAGCTGAGAGTCTAATCAGTCTATTAACTTGGTACGGAATAACAACCACCAACAAATATGAGCTTTTTGTCACATCTATGTATTTTCCCCTGTAAACTAATACCTACATTTTAAACGCATTTTCAAAATGTTTCGCTTGGCCATGTGATAATTATTTCCCCTATAAAAAGCCACAGGATTTTGGTTTAAGAGCAAATGAGCTAGAGTATCTGGTCCATCAGAAGGCTAAGTGGAAAGATCACACCCTGAAGTTTGTAACCACTAACAAGGCAAACTCCAGTGCTACCTTGTTCATGTAATCAACAATATGTGAGTTGAAATAAACAAACTAGTAAGTTATACGTTTCTGTCTACATACCAATTTACCAATCAACAGGAGGGGAAGAAATTGCTCAAATGTCACTACTGTTAACAAACACGTTAACAAACATCTAAATATTAGACATAGTCTCTATTAATATCGTAACCTATCAATTCTGAAACCATTCCTTCGACTTGTTATGTTTTTAATCCCCCCCCCAAAAAACAAAAAAAAGCAGCCACCTTTAAAATGTAAATTCCTCCCTTTTTCAAAGTAACTTGCCTAGGAAAATTTAATGCCTTAAAATAAAACGTAACAGACAAACCAATTACAATATTTAAAAAAATAATAAAATGATCCGTAACCAATCACGCAAGTTTAGCAAAGCACGTGTTTTTAATCTGTTGTGGGTATCCTATTACACTAATAAGCAACGACGTTTTAATCTGCTGTGGGTATCCTATTACACTAATAAGCAACGCCGTTTTCATCTGTTGTGGGTATCCATTATACTAATAAGCAACAACGTTTAAAAGTCATCCCAATGCCTAAAACACCACCATACACATAACATACTTGTCCTTTACTCCAAGGAAGCTTAAACTCAGACCCAAACTCAGACCATTACCCCCTCCTGGCACACTGAACTATACAGGGGAAATCCAAGAAATCAGATATGTTAAGTGCCGGCATCTTCTTCCAGAGTAGGGTCAAATTCGTGTTTGCCCGAAAATGTCACCGTCCCAGGAAGTCTGCAAATTCTCACCAGCGCTGGAGTACAAAGAGGCCCGACCACGGAAACACCTGTCCCAGCACTAGGAAGACACCGGGAAACGCAAACCCCCCGAGTCCGCGCTAGCCCCAAAGCCTCGGCTGCAGCGACGGGGGGACAAGAGGTGGCCGCTGGCCTCGCGGGTGCGGCGGACAGGATCGCACAGCCCCGGCTCGCCTCCCGAGAACCAGGCAAACTGTCAGGCCGGCCGGGACCCACCCTCCTCAGACCCTCGCGCTCCAGCCCAGCGCGGCCCCCGCCCGCCCCCGACCGCCCCGGCCTGCAGTTGCGTTCTGTCACCTCATCCCTCCCTGGCGGCCTCGAGGCCCCTTAACCTTCGCCGCGCGGCCTGGGCTCGGGCCGCCCCAGGGGCAGCAGCGCCCAGCCGCCGCCCCCCGCCCGGCCCGACCCCAACCGAGTCCGTTCCCCAGCCGCTCGGTCCCCGCGCCCCCAGGTCCGAGCTCCCGCCTCGCGCTCCCCACCCCCAGCCTCCGCCCTCGCCCCGCGCGGCCTCTCCCGCCCACTCCCCAATACCGGCTACCTGGAGGCAAGGGCGGCGGAGCACTTCACCCAGGGGCCAGGTTGCAGACGGCCCGGTGCTCGGTGTCCCGCTCCTTCCCCCGCTGCATGTGGTTGGCGTAGACGGCTACTAAGCCACCCGCTCCCACTGCAACACCGACGCTGTCGGCAGGAAGGGCGCCACCGCCTCCTTCCGCCTCCACCTCAGCCTCCGCCCATCGGCGCCGACCCAGCGGCCGCAGCCGCGCCCCATTGGCGAGGTCGCTTGCTCTGGGCCCCGCCCCCATAGGCGCGCGGCCCAACCGCCCGGAAAGGAGTGAGGCGGGTGAGCTGCGTGGGCGGGCGAGCTGGGAAGGCCCGCGCAGGCGCGGAAGGAGAGGGCGGAGCGCGCAACCGCCGGATAGGCCGGATTGGCAGGCGGAGACTGAGGCGGTGCGTGTGAAGGGCGGGGCCCGGGAAGGGGCGGGACCCCGGGTGAGGCGCGGGACCCCGGGTGAGGCGCGGGACCCCGGGTGAGGCGCGGGACCTGGCGGGAGGGACTTAAGGGAGCGGTATCCAGGAACACTTTGCAAGGATCTTGGATGACTGTTTTCTTTTTCTTTTTGGACAAACTACTTCTAAGAAGATTTACAGGAAGATGCTTTAAGTCACATGAAAGAATGTCCGTTTTCAAAAAAAAAAGGGAAAAAAAACTGTCCATTTCTAACTTTACTTTTCCAATTTAAACCGTCCATATTATCCTCTCCAAGTATAGCAGCCAGATTGATCAGTTTTAGTCACTCTTGAGAAACTTGATCTAGCATTTCTTATCAGTAGCATGTTTTGCATATGCACCGTAGAATCCTTAGCCAAGAGACCCACTGGCCTTGTTTGTTTAATGGGGTGTGTGTGTGTCTGTGTGTGCACATGTGTGTGTGGTAGCATTGAAATCAAAAGAAAAAACTAAACAAGCCAGCAAGAAATCCAACATGGAATATAGTGATCCATAGAAAAGGGCATTCTAGGCCGGGCGCGGTGGCTCATGCCTGTAATCCCAGCACTTTGGGAGGCCGAGGTGGGTGGATCACAAGGTCGAGAGATTGAGACCATCCTGGTCAACATGGTGAAACCCCGTCTCTACTAAAAATACAAAAAATTAGCTGGGCATGGTGGCGCCCGCCTGTAATCCCAGCTACTCGGGAGGCTGAAGCAGGAGAATTGCCTGAACCCAGGAGGCGGAGGTTGCAGTGAGCCGAGATCGCGCCATTGCACTCCAGCCTGGGTAACAAGAGTGAAACTCCGTCTGACAAAAAAAAAAAAAAAAAAAAAAAGAAAGAAAAGAAAAGGGCATTCTACAGTGAGCCACCAAAGCAAATCTCTAAAAATGGTGAACACAGGATTTTTGGCCAAAAAAATAGATTATGAGGTTTGTCTATTCCTAAATAATAGACACTTACATCCTTCCTGTTACCTTCTAACCCAGGGAGTGCCTCCTCTCAAAACTCCCCATAATTGCTGTTGAACCACCTATCCAGTCCCTTTTGTCTGTTTCAGCCTAGCTTCTCAGAGAGACATCTTTTAAAGACAAAGATGGGTATATCAAGACTCCAACAAGCCATTTCAAAACATCATCAACAGAGAGGCCACCGTAACTTGCCTGTTTAATATTGTAAATCATGGACTTCCCACTCCCTGGTCCCCTTGCTCTGCTTGACTTTTTCCTTGCTTCATATAACTTATTACCTTCAAACATACACAGTTTACTTGTCTTTATTATGTGTTTCTCCTTATCTTGAAAAATCCACCCCAGCCTCTGGTATTGTACTGTTGATGTATCCAAGTGCCTATAACACTGCCTAACTTCTAGCAGACAGTCAATAACTGTTAGTTGGGAGACTAAATGAATACTCAAGTTGAGGACATCATCCTAATGTAAACTGACTCCTGGCCTTAAATGTAACTGCAAGGACTAGAAAGACAAATAGGGTACAGAATATCACCAAATCCACCCACCCCCTACCCATCATTGTACTTCCAAGGTCAACCCACGTATGCTTAATAAAATGAGAAAAACAGGCACAACAACCATAACATTCAGAATAAAACCCAGAGGAAACTTATTAGAAGGTATACATACTGGAGAATGGGAGGAAGGGAGAAAGAGAAAGAGGAAGCAGAAAAGAAATGAAATAAATTCTGTCACCAACTAACTTTAAAACACAAATAGAAAGTATGATTGCAATTTCAGGCTCGAAGTTTGCTGGTCAAGCACTAATATAGAGGTGGTTCTGGTTTCCCATCCTGGGGTTTGACCCCTTAAATTACTGTAGTATCCCTAAATATTTGTATCAGATTTTTCCATTAAATGATTTTCCCTTCTGCTCTTGCTGGTGTCTTTCCCATTTAATATATCTTCCTCTATGCAACAGCCTTCCATTGGCTTCTCTCAACTGAACTATCAGCGAAAACTTACTCATGGAACTGAAAATAAATGCTGTTTGAGGTCTTTGCTTTGATTCTACTCACTTACTTGGAAAAACAGGCATCAGTCCCACATCCTACTTTCCACCCAATTAACACTCTGATGTTCTTCTCTAAGAATAATATCTCTGTAATTATAATCCTGTTTTTAAAACACATTAGCATAGAAACAGTGAGAGTCAAAAAATGGGGGAACATTTTTCCAATACACCAAGAAGCAGCCTCCTTTCTAATGTGTTGTTTAGACTGAAAAAAGTTAAATAACCTTGTTGGAATAGAGACCTTTCACCACATTCATTTCTGTGGTGCAACTGGTTAGCACATTTGGCTGTGAACCAAAGGGTTGGTGGTTTGAGACCTGGTGCCGTAATTTTATGAGAAATGTTATTTTCTTACTTCAGGAATTGTGTCTGGCAAATTAAGTGAAAATCCAATCATTATTCTTCCCCTGTTATTCCTTGGGTGTCTTCATTTCCTTGTCTCTTGATTAAATTGACCAAGTTCCTTCTAAATGCCTGCAGATATGAACACAGTCCCATTATTCTGGACCACTTCTTTTGTTTCCAAACTCCATCTTTCTCATTGTACTGGTCCATCAGTAGAGTCCCCACAGCAAAAAGCAGCAGAAATCACTTGGCCAACGTCCTGCAGAGCTTGCCCTCTGCACTGAGCTGGCATTGTCTCTACCTGAATCAGTTCCTTGGGTCAGGCTTTGGATGTCACAATGGACCACGAATGAAAGTGGCGGAGACCTCTAGCTAGGATGTCTTATAGGTTTTCTGTGACTGCTATTTTCCTAAATCATCAGACTCTCTATTTTTCCTTGCTTACAAAATGAATACCAAAAACAGTCTCTCTTAGACTCTGCAGTTTCACTTGACAATTTTTTATGCAATTGCTATATTTGTATAGCTAAAGTTGACTCATGTCAGGATTATTCTTTTTAACACTTAAAAGAAAAAAAGATTAGAAGAAGCTGCACATCTATCCATAAAGTCTTGATTAAATAATCAATGATAATTGACACAATGGAATTGGAGGCCAAGGTGAAAAACAAAAATAAGCTCTCTGAAATGATTCACAGCCAATGTGCTGGGGACATCGCTGGAGTCCGCTAACCCTGACAGCCCAGGTCATGCACAGACTGGCCACTACAATAACTGCTAAAGGTGGCTGGGCACACACCACACAGCTGCAAAAGACTTTGCCAGGTTTCCGATGCCTCTCCCTTCAGCCTGCCTTCATGTCTCTAGTTAATAAGGGGTGCAAAGAAAGTGTGGTTTCAAGGGCCATTGTCACAGACTGAAAACTTTTCATTTTCAATCTCAGCTCACTGCAACCTCCACCTCCTAAGTTCAAGCGATTCTCCTGCCTCAGCCTCCTGTGTAGCTGGGATCACAGGCACCCATCACCAAACCCAACTAATTTTTGTATTTTTAGTACAGACAGGGTTTCATAATGTTGGCTAGGTTGGTCTTGAACTCCTGACCTCAAGTAATCTGCCTGCCTCAGCCTCCCAAAGTGCTGGGATTACAGGCGTGAGCTACCATGCCCCGCCGATATTTATTTTCTTTAATATTCTGTCAAGTATTGATTTCAAGATGGGGGCCGGGCACAGTGGCTGTAATTCTAGCACTTTGGGAGGCCGAGGTAGGTGGATCGCTTGAGAATAGGAGTTCGAGAGCAGCCTGGGCAACACAGTGAGATCTCATCTCCACAAAAAAAAAATCTTTTTTTTTTTTTTTGAGACGGAGTTTTGCTCTTGTTACCCAGGCTGGAGTGCAATGGTGCGATCTCGGCTCACCGCAACCTCCGCCTCCCGGGTTCAGGCAATTCTCCTGCCTCAGCCTCCTGAGTAGCTGGGATTACAGGCACACACCACCATGCCCAGCTAATTTTTTGTATTTTTAGTAGAGACGGGGTTTCACCATGTTGACCAGGATGGTCTCGATCTCTTGACCTCGTGATCCACCCGCCTCGGCCTCCCAAAGTGCTGGGATTACAGGCGTGAGCCACCGTGCCCTGCCAAAAAAAAAAATCTCATAAATTAGCTGGGCATGGTACATGCCTGTGGTTCCAGCTCCTCAGGAAGCTGAGGTGGCAGGATGTTTGAGCCCAGAAAATGGAGGCTGCATTGAGGCATGATTGTGTCACTGTACGCCAGCCTGGTTGACAAAGTGAGACTCTATCTCAGAAAATAAAAGGGGGGTGGGCAGGGACCAGCAGATCTAATATTGGATCTTAAGCAATTTGCTAGAATTCATATTAAGCCTCCTGGGGAACTGAGCATGGCCCTAGACTTCTACCATAGGATTTTCACATCATAATTCTACTGCATATAACAAGGCACATTCCAGGGAAAAAGGTTTTATGAGGAATCACAAAAAAGCAATTTGAGAGTACCTGTAAATATGACTTTTGAACATTTTTAGGGTAGAGCATGGTGACTCATGCCTGTAATCCCAGTGCTTTGGGAAGCCAAGGCGGGGGAGCATCCTTGAGCCCAGGAGTTCGAGACCAGCCTAAGACCCTGTCGCTGGAAAAAAAAAAAAAAAAAAAAAAAGTTTTTAGGCACCGAGACATACCCTTTAAAGCCTCCTTACTCTATCAGGAGTCCCACCTCAATTTATTTGGAAAGAAACCTGTCCACCATATTACCATCTAATGCAGAGTCCCAGCTTCTCAGTCAGGAGCGGAATTAAGCTGAATCAGAGTATACATTGCCACCACAGGATAATGACTTGAGAATTATTACTGTTTGTTATTCTTGGTCTTAGATAAAATAAATCCACTCATATTTGCAGGTACACTTTATTCTCTAGCCTATGACATGTGCATTTCTCATGGGTCTCATGCAATAAGCCTTCACCATATACACACTGGGAAAAGCTGGGGAAAAGGTTGGGACCAAAGGATAGAATACTAGGCAAATTGAGTCAGATCTCTGAGCTCATTTTTAATGGGGGATAACATTATATAGTTGTGGATTAAATGAGTTAAGTCATACAAAAAAACAAAGTGCTGTTTAAATAGAAACAAAATTATGGAAGTAAAAGTAATTATTTTCCTGCCTTCAATGGGCTTAAAGTCAAAATGAAAGTTCCTGGGATATTTTCTTCCACCCACTTATTCTCATTCCTCACTTTTGACTTACCCAGCTTGCATGGCCGCAGGTGTGAGCTCTTTGTACTGAAATGTTCTGGAGATCGAGTCTGAAACACAAACCCTTGAACATACTGTACTATTACCTAATGCTGTCCACCCTAGGAATGCAATTTCTTTCTTCATTCAAGAAAGTTTTTTTTTTTTTTTTTTTGAGACGCAGTTTCACTCGTTACCCAGGCTGGAGTGCAATGGTGCGATCTCGGCTCACTGCAACCTCCGCCTCCTGGGTTCAGGCAATTCTCCTGCCTCAGCCTCCTGAGTAGCTGGGATTACAGGCACGCGCCACCATGCCCAGCTGATTTTTTGTATTTTTAGTAGAGACGGGGTTTCACCATATTGACCAGGATGGTCTCGATCTCTTGACCTCGTGATCCACCCGCCTCCGCCTCCCAAAGTGCTGGGATTACAGGCTTGAGCCACCGTGCCCGGCCAAGAAAGTCTTAAATAAAACCCCTAAAGTACCACTATGTCTGGTACTTTCCAAGCTGTCAGCAACTTCAGGGAAAGTTTCTTCTTCACCTTGGTATCTCTTTATCTAGCAGAGGTGGCAATGGGCACTTGGAATTCTGTATAAATCAACATGTCAGCCTGTCAAATTCTGATTCTGGATTTTTCTGGTTCACTTGGAGACATCAATGGCATGTGGAAACAATCCACAAGCAAACCCACAAGAAATAAACAAAAAAACAAAAGTTTCTAAGTGGAAATGTAGTTTGTGTGCTAAGTATAAGAGGTATGTGGGCTGTGAAAAATGTTATACCAAGCTTTACTGCATGATCCTTTTTATTCTTCCAAATAAAGTGCACCTATCCACAATGTGGCTAGGATATTTTACAGCCAAAGCAGGCAAATTCACTCTACCCCATAAAACACACAGATCATCACACTGACAGAAGAAAAACAAAAACAGCACAAGCAAAATACAAATAATTATGATCATACTGACACTTTCTGAAACAGCCTTGAAAATGATCAGCGTTTTCCTCTACCTGAGACTGTGTAGACTGTTTAACACCTAGGTTTTCAGTTCCTTGCAGTGGCTTACACTGATTCTTTGAACCCTACAGGGCTGCCTCACCTATTTGTGAACCTTCCCTTGCCCCAGCCCCACCATGTATAACCTGAGGTGCACTGCTTCTCTACTAGGCTTTGCCTACCTTTTCAGTGGTTCCAACCCAACACTCCACCCAGAACGCATTGTTTGCAATTGTGGGAGCACATCATACTCTTTTGAGACTTCTGCTTTATTATTTTCCAGTTTACTTTCTAGGAATGACCTGGAAAACTTGGTGAGGACTGACTCACCTCTGAAGACTGTGATCATCAATCAGGTTCCCACTGAGAGCACTCTATGACCTGCCATGGCCCCCACTCCATCCCTTATATGCATCTATCACGATGCCTATCTATCTTCTACTAGTGGCCTGAAGACTCTTAACGCCAAGGGCCACGTGTTATTATCTATCGTCACTGTTTCCTCCTCAAACAATGGCTTAGAAAATGCTGACTTAACTGACTGATAAAGTGGGCTAAGATATTAAGTAGACAGAAATTAAACAGAAAAAAAAAAAAACCCAGATTAAATGGCAAGGTGGATGGTGGTGGTGGGGGTGCCCTAAGATCAAGAGATAGAATGAAGGTGAAGGGAACACAAAATCAAAGTTGAAATTTGTCCAATGCCCTCTAATAAAAATAAAAAGCCATGCAAAAATATTTTTATTTTCTATAAACACATTTGGGAGAACTGTATTTCTTCCCAACCCAGTCTATCCCATTAACTGTCATTTTTTCTACATAAAAAAGATGTTAGTACCATCCTCACCTGTGACTGCTAAACAGAAAAAGATTGCCTGGACTAGGCATTATCCCCCTTGTTGGAAACAAAGGTCCTTCCTGGGGGCAGGAAGTGGGATTTTTAAGAGGCAGGCAGTCAAGAGTCAAACAAAACAAGCATATGCAGTAGTTATGTTAGCATGACAGTATGAATTAGGTGACTCAGCCAGGCATCTACAGGAGTTAGAAGCCCACAAAACTTCCACGTTTGGGCCCTGACCAGAGACATTTGGTCTGAAAAACATAAAAAAATGTCTGCCTGGGTAATCACAATCATTCTAGTACGAGGTAGACAGGAAGCAGAGCAGGGCCAGGAGATGGAAGGGGCCTCCCCGGCCCTCAGGAGTCCCTGACCCGGGAAGTTCCCTCCATGCTCTCTGAGGGTGGCGGGGCTCCAAAGATCCTGGCCAGGAGCCCTTTGTTGGAGCGGGCCTTGTCCTGGACAGTTGCCAGGCGAGCCCGTTCACGTTCCCCGGGCCGTGCTGCTTTCCGGGCCCTCAGTTCCTGCTCAGTAGGACGCTGGGCAAATGTCCAAGAGCCATCTGGGCGAGCAGGGTCCCCATCAGCAGCAAGAAAGCGTTGTCCCCGTTCCACACTTTGAAGATAGAAGTCAGTCTCACGCTTGGCCTGAGCAACCTCCGCTCTCAGGCGCTGCCTGCGCACCTGGCGCTCAAAGGCAAGGTGCTCGCTGAGGTGGGACCAGGTGAAACGGTGCAAGTACTGTGGGCAGAAAATCAGAAAAGATCAGGATAGTGCCGATTAGAGAGAAAAGGGTGGGGGGTGGGGGTGCGCAAGGCCAACGAGAGGCCATGGGGATACTTGGACCAGGGTTGCAGAGATGGAAAAGTGAGAGGTGTGGCAGAAAGATCTAGCTCCTCACCTTGAGGTTCCATAGGTCATAACGGAAGGGGCTGCGCCTGCGGGCACCCATAGGCGTGTTGTGTAGACTGGCCGCCACGCGCTTGGCTACGCGCTTGTCGCGGAACTCCACCCATCCCTCGGTGTAGTCCTTGCTGTAGGACCGCTTTTTTCCTCCCGCGGCTGCTGCTGCCTTCTTCTTGCGTCTCACGAACCTGTCTGCGAGCCAAAGACAAAGCCCCGTCGATGATGCCTAGGCCGCACTCCCTCAAAAGCACCTCCCACTGCCCGCATTGTTCTTCACTTCTGCCAGCGGGAGTCCCACCTGAGAGTTTCCTCCGGAGGGAGGAACTGTTAAGTCGCACCCTTTCGTCTATCTAACTCAATTCTTTCCTCAACTGTCCAATCCTTAATCTGGCCTGCCCTGAACGCTGTTTAAAACCTACACAAGGCCGGGCGCGGTGGCTCAAGCCTGTAATCCCAGCACTTTGGGAGGCCGAGGCAGGTGGATCACGAGGTCGAGAGTTCGAGACCATCCTGGTCGACATGGTGAAACCCCGTCTCTACTAAAAATACAAAAAATTAGCTGGGCATGGTGGCGCGTGCCTGTAATCCCAGCTACTCAGGAGGCTGAGGCAGGAGAATTGCCTGAACCCAGGAGAACCCAGGAGGCGGAGGTGGCGGTGAGCCGAGATCGCGCCATTGCACTCCAGCCTGGGTAACAAGAGCGAAACTCAGTCTCAAAAAAAAACCTACACAAGTCCCCAACCTCAAGCAGTGCCTGTAAGGGGGTGGAAAGACGACGGGCGACTGATCAAATCGTTTCTTGACCAAGGCCGCGAAGCCAAAGGTGTATGTTCAGTTTTGTAGAAAAGCTGACCAGGCTTTTACTCAGGTTGTGCTCATGTAACAAACCGGTAAACAGGTCGGGAGAGGTGAGCAGAACCGGAGTAAGAACGCAAATAGTGACAATCCGAGAACTGCAGAACCACCAGACACGCTGCGCTGCGTACTCTCCCCAGATCCCCGCCGCCGCCCACCGCAGCGTCCTCACAGACCGATTCCTCCACCAGCCAGGGGCCGAGCACCGCACCGCCCATCGCCCAAATCCAGCAGCTCGCGCCTCAGCCCTGCGCAGCGACCCACAGGACACGCATGCTTGGCCCCCGCCAGCGAGCGACGACCTCCCTTTCACCGCCAGGGCCTGCACGCTTACCCTCAGCCTGAAAGAAAACGCGTCCCACCTCGCCATAGGCGCTGAGAAGGTTGCGGACGTGCAGGGGCCGGAAGCGCGGCGGGATATGGCCCAGGTACACAATACCTGGCACTACCCGCTTCTTGCTGCCACAGGCCGCTTCTTCGGATTCTTCCTCCTCCTCCTCCGCCTCTAGTGCCTGGTCTGTCCCTTCCAGCGGCTCTCGCTCCGTTGCGGCCTTCTCCGAATCCTCTCCCTCCATGTTGACTGACACGAACAGCACGACAGCCGTAAAGCGCCTTGCCAACCGACGCAAAACGCGGGCGACGGCCTGAGACGAGGGGGCGGGGCCGAGGCGTTAATAACAAATGAAAAGATTGGACTAGGCAGGCGGATCCTGAGGGCGGAAGTAGGGTGTCGGCTCGGAAGCCGGAATAAGGAGCGTGGGAGCGGGAGGGAACGCTCGGGTTGGGCTCACAGATTCCCGGTCAGATCTCCAATTCAGGACAGGCAGAAGCAGAAAAGGCAGATCCCCAAATATAACCTACCCTATAGAACGCCTTGTTGCGATGGTAAAAGTCAGGTTGATGCTGGCTTTTTGGAGAGTTTCGCAGAACAATATTAGGGAAGTTTCTATGTGTTCTAGCGATCAAAATAGCATTTTATGCAAGGGCCCCGGGTGCGATTACAGCTGAGGAACGACTGTCTTTTAAAGTTGATCAATTTCATTTAAAAAATTTAAGTTTGCGTTTTGAAGTTTTAATTCTTTCTGGAAGGCCGGGCGCGGTGGCTCACGCCTATTGTAATCCCAGCACTTTGGGAAGCCGAGGCGGGCGGATGTCGAGGTCAGGAGTCCGAGACCATCCTGGCCAACATAGTGAAACCCTGTCCCTACTAAAAACACAAAAATTAGCCGGGCGTACTAAAAACCTCCCAGTACAACCTCCCAGTTACTCGAGAGGTTGAGGCAGGAGAATCGCTTGAACGCGGGAGGCGGAGGTTGTCCTGAGCCAAGATCGCGCCACTGCACTCCAGCAAGACCCTGTCTCAAAAACTAAACTAAAATTATTTCTGGAAATTTACTTTGGAATTTTGCATATTTTACAATTTAAATATTGAAAACAGTTTAATTAGCCGGGCGCGGTGGCTCAAGCCTGTAATCCCAGCACTTTGGGAGGCTGAGGCAGGTGGATCACGAGGTCGAGAGATCGAGACCATCCTGGTCAACATGGTGAAACCCCGTCTCTACTAAAGATACAAAAAAATTAGCTGGGCATGGTGGCACGTGCCTGTAATCCCAGCTACTCAGGAGGCTGAGGCAGGAGAATTGCCTGAACCCAGGAGGCGGAGGCTGCGGTTAGCCGAGATCGCGCCATTGCACTCCAGCCTGGGTAACAAGAGCGAAACTCCGTCTCAAAAAAAAAAAAAAAAAAAAAAAAAAAAAAAAAAAGAAAACAGTTTAATTTTGGAAACTTAATTAGATTTAATTTTGAAAATTTAAGTTGCTGGCTTTTAGTCTAATATTTAAAATTTGGTTTTGTGAATGTCTAGAAATGTAAATACGTGACAGTTATTTGAACCACTTGCTTGGCATCTATGACACATGTGTATTGATGCAGTATCCACATGCATCCTTACGCTGCAAACACATGTCAGAGGCACACACGACCCCCAACTCTGGCGACTCCCGGGCGACGCGCCCTGGGTCTGTCCTCACAGATTCCCCATCAGATCACAACCCACTTTTCCTTCGATGACCGACGCACCCCTGACCCGGCCCCGGCGGTCCTGCTCCCGCCAGGAGGCCTGCGGACCTTTCCTAAGCCACGCCCAGGGCCCTTTTCCCCTTGCGGGCTGGGGTCCTCAGCCTGTTATCGGGGCCCGAGGGTGCTCCCAGCAGGGGGCGCCGTCCCCAGCGTTGAGGCGCTTCAGTTCCTGGGATCGGCGCCAGCGCTAAGCGGACTGCAAAAGGCAGTGCTGGGAACCGCGTGCAAATAATCCGCTTGGCTTTCTGGAAGCAGCCCGGGGAGAGTTTGAGGACCATCAATAGAAAATTTCCCGTCTCGCTCCAACAGGAGCGCAGAGTAGCGCAGAGAATGGAAGCAGGGGATAAATGTGTCCACTGTTAAAATCAGAGATGACAGTTGTTGCAAGTCCCCAAGTATATTTCTAAAGTGAACAGGGCGCCGAGCTGTTTCATGGAGCGTCTAAAAGTCTAATAATAGACTCGGAATTCTCACACTTCTGTTGCTTTAGCTTTATTGAGAACTTTCTGCCAGGTGTCCACTGCTCCTTTTCTGAAGAGGAATGGGGTACGATGACAGTAATAAACTCTGTCTATTGCTATTTAATTCTTAACACTGACATCTTCAAAACACAGTATAGTTAATGAAATGAGAGCACGTGTTGGGGTGGCTTTAAAAGATCGAGGGTTAGGCGAGGGGCATGATGCAAGAGTCTCGGTCAGTTGTGCCAGTGTGGTGGCTAATGGTAGTTCTTCAGGCTGATTCTCTACTTGGTATATATTTGAAATTATAATTGATAAAATGTTTATTCACACCAACTATCAACGTAACAGCGAAAGGACCGTCGAACCGCCAAAAAAGAAAAAAAAATGAAGCCTTGGGGCAGCGTGTTCTTACCGCTCCCCACATTCGTCATGATCCCTTCTCAACTTGGTGAAAATTAGGTCTCACTCGAGAGACTTTTTCTCTCAGTTGACTGTCCTTTAAGCAAGGATTGTTAGCAATTTTCAGTGTGGATTATTTTCCTTCTGAGCGTCTTACAAATTCATGTATAAATATAAACAAGCTGCTCACTCACTGCGTTCTGTAAGTTGGAGAGATCCTTTCAAAAGGGAACTCCTTCGAGCCGGACTCGAACCAGCGACCTAAGGATGACCACATTCGAACCCCTACAGTCCTCCGCTCTACCAGCTGAGCTATCGAAGGATGTTGTGGCGTACTGCCTGGATACTTTAGGATTTACCTATTGCTTTTGACTATCCTGTATTCAGGTTCCTTTTCAAAACATAGGCAAACGTTAAGGAAGTTTTTGAGGATATTAGAAATGTTTCAAAATGTTCTAAAATGTTTTAATCTGAGTAAGGGTAGTGAACATACAAGTGTATGAACAATTCATTTCCTTGAACATTTAAAATTTGTGCGTTTTACTGTAAAACGGTTTCACATTGGTCAAAAAAAAAAACAAAATTCTGTGTCCTGTTCCCTTAGGTAGAATAGACAGGAACATTGCCCCTATTGAGCGTGTTGTCCTTCTGTCCTGTCTGTTTAGCACCTCCTCTCTTTATGGGAAAGGATAATAAAGGTAAGCTTATATTAAACACAGACAACAGAGAGGGGACCTACTGCCTTGAATTGGAGTTACTGCTCAGTTCATTTTGGAAACTTTGAAATTCTCCTTTCTGAAAGGCAAGGAAAATCATACAATTTGTGTAATTTGTGTTTGAGACACAAAACATGAGAAGTCCATTGTGTGTGTACATATGTTTAGGAACTGAGCAGCGCATATGATATTGCACAGTTGTAATGGGATAAAATACAACACCCTCCCCTCACAATTTAAAAAAGATGAAATGTAACATTCCACTTACAGGTGTCAACCTAAATAACAAAGAGAAGCTCTCTGAAAGAAAATGATGTTTATTTGGGAATAGAGCATTGCTATGAAAATATGGTACCATTTGAAATCATGTATATGCAGGAGGCAAAGGAAGACAAAGGTTTTTATTTTATTATTTTTTTAGAGATGGGGTTTCTCCATGTTGGTCAGGCTGGCCTCAATCTCCTGACCTTACGTGATCCACCAGCCTCTGCCTCCCAGAGTGCTGGGATTACAGGGATGAGCCACTTCACCCTGCCTGACAAAGGTTTTTGTTGTTGTTGTTGTTGTTGTTATTTTTTTGTTTTTGTTTTTGTTTTCGTTTTTGTTTTGAGTTGGAGTCCCGCTGTATCACCCAGGCTGGAGTTCAATGGTTCAATCTTGGCTCACTACAACCTTCGCCTCCCTGGTTCAAGTGGTTCTCCTGCCTCAACCTCCCGAGTAGCTAGGACTACAGGCGTGTGCCACCACGTCAGGCTAATTTTTGTATTTTTAGTAGAAATGGGGTTTCACCATATTGGCCAGGCTGGTCTCAAATTCCTGACCTTGTGATCTGCCTGCTCTGGCCTCCCAAAGTGCTGGGATTACAGGTGTGAGCCACAGTGCCTGGTGGCAACGGTTTTTAAAGGAAAAAATCAGAAGGATTATATAACTGTGTTGAAGTTATCGTTTGCTACAAAGATGGAAAGCAAAGAGAAAGCCAGTCCGAGGTTGGACAGGCAGCTGTGGAGCAGGCATCCTTGTAGAAGTATTTTTTGTGTAAGATTTTGATGGTCTTTGTGCAAGGTTGTGGGTTTTACAGTCTTTTGTGATAGTTTCTGTTAAAAAGCATGGCCTTTTCCAGCTCTGTTTATCAGCGGATTTTGTTTTTTCTTTTGTGTGTTTGTGTGTTTTAACAATAGGGACTCCATTTTGATTCTGACAGTTTTCACATAGGTATGCTTTGCTAATAAGTGCCTGCCATGGTATTCAGCTTCCTGGTGCCTAAGAGAGAAATGAATGCCAATGGGAAAAACAGGAAGCCATCTGGAGAAACTTTTCTTTTTTATAAAATTATTAAAAGTGTATGGAAATTGTAAACTGTGAAATTTATGGAAAAAGAATTCTGGTGAATTTATCTATAGAAATCATCATTTATTACGCTTAAAGTTCTCCGTAACTGTAATCTGGACAAAAAATACGGTTTTCCAAAAGATTCTCTCCAGCATTTCCCATGAGAAATATCTGCAGCACATAACTAATATTTAATTCAGTTATTCATTTCCATGAGAAACTAAGAATACATGGTCTAGTCAATTTCTTTCCAATAATATAACCTAGTCAGGGAAAATATGAGAACCCAGAGTAGAGAAATGAGCAGGTTCCGTGTGAGATGGTCTCTTCTCATACAAGTGTACTAATTGAGCCTTGGACACCAGCTGTGAAAGCAGCTGACCGACCCTGCCATTTCACCATCAAACCCCAGAATCTCAGTTCACACACTTTCTCAAATAAAAGCTTCACTAATTTGCACAGGGGACAGCAATACTGAAAAAATGCCCAGTATGTTTCTCCTCAGCTAGTGCAAGATCTTCAAGCCTCATGTCTCTCAGGGACACGGTACTGTAGAGTTAATTTTAGTCCAGAAGAACTCCAACAGCTCATCTCACCAAGTCTTTTATTTATCTAAAAACTA